CCGCCCCTCTGCCCAATTGGGCTCCCAAATATAGCGGCCCTGGCCACAGCCGGCCAGGACACCACAGCCCGAGCGTCAGTCCTGGGCCGGGATCAGAGGGGCAGGGGCTGATTATAGGTCCCCGGGCCAAACCAGGGCCTGCCTGCCAGCCCGCGGCCCGCCCCCCGCCCGCCCGAACCACAGGCCTGGAGCAGCTGGTCCCGTCAGCACAGTGGGCAGCGGGTGGGGCCTGAGGCTGGGCCTGGCTCCAGAGGACAGAGTCGCCTGTGTGTGGCATGGGGGTGGCAGGACAGGCTGGACCCAGGGTAGCGACTGTCCTTGGAACACAGCCCCCCCCCGGGAAACTGAGGCCCAGAGGAGGCAGGACCCGCCGAGGTCAGACCCTCAGGAGCCTCCTGCTCCCCTTGGCCACCCCTCCCGCCTCCCAGGCCACATCCTGTCGGTGGCGAGCAGCCCTGCTGGGAAGTCCTCCTCCGAGTCACACTCGCACCCGAGGCTCCGGGGCCAGGGGCGGCGCCCGGGCCCTCGCCCTCGTGGCTGCCTCGTGCCGCCTCCAGCCAGGGTCTGGGCAGTGGGGCAGAGACAGGGGCCATGTATGGGGCCTGCATTCCCGGCACCCGGCGCGGGGCGCCCTGTGGGGTGAGGTGCAGCCTGGCCTACTTGTGCCCGTCGGGCTCGGGTCCCCAGGACCTGCTGCCCACAACATCTGACCTACTTCGAGGCTCTGGGCCGGGCCGGCCGCACTGACTCGTCCGTCCGGGAAGCGTGGGCCTGCGTCCCAGCCGGGGCCCTGGCCAGGAGGGCGGGAGGGAGGGCCGGGCGGTGGCAGCGCCTGCGGCCGGGGACCAGGGCACGTGGGGAGCCAGATCCTCCTTCCCTGCCTCCGGCTCCAGCCCCCCTCCCGGCCCGCCCCCCTCCACGCGGCCACCATATTCCCAGCTCCCCGAGTTGGAAGAGGCTCTGACGGGATGAAGGACATTCCTCAGCCCCTCTAAACGCTGCAGGGTCTGCCAAGCTCCCGCCCGCTGTGTGCCAGGACCTCACCCCTCCGCCTGCCCTCATCTGCAGAGCAGCGGGCAGTGCCAGCCTGGGACCCAGCAGCCCCGTCCCGGGCCCCGGCCTGGGGCCTGGGTGTGTGTGCGTGTGTGTGTGCGTGTGTGTGTGTGTGTGTGTGTGTGTGTGTGTGTGTTGTGGGTCTGGAGTCTGGGTTTCCAGTCTGGGCTTGAAGTCGGGGTCTGGCATCCGGGATTGAGAGTCTGGGTCCCTAACGTGGGTTCTGGTCCTGAGCTCTGGGTTCTAGGTTCTAAGTTTGGGGTTCAGTTCCTGAGACTGGAGTCTGGGGTCTGGGCTTGGGGTTCCAGGTTTCAGGTCTGCATTCTGGGGTCTGGGGAGAGGTCCTGGGTTCTGGGTTTGGGTTCAGGATCCAAAGGCCAGTTCCTATCCCTTCGGCGCCCCCTGCTGGCTGCTAGTCATGCTGTCTTCCTGCCCACCCCACAGGTCAGCCGAGCCCCGGGCAGCTGAGAGGGCTTTCCGGGCGATGGGAGTGTCTCAGAGAGCAGGCCAAGGCTGAGCTGAGGGGGCAGGTGGGTTAGGGTTAGGGCTAAGGCTAGGGCTAGGGCTAGGGCTAGGGTTAGGACTGCGATGCTGTCCCAGGAGCCCTCTGCTCTCCCAGATCCCTTGTGGGTCAGCAAGTGCCCCCCCCCCCACGCCCCATTCTATGGATGGGGTTTGGCAAGGGGTCCTAGTCCCCCATGGGGAGGTGGGTACATGGAGATGTTTAGGACATTTGCTCATCCAACACGTGTTGAGTGCCTACTGTGTACCATGCTCTGTTCCAGACACGGGATACACAGCTCCTGCGCAGCTGACACTCACGGGCGGACACCCGTAAGAAATACGAGCCTGTGGGCCTGGCTCGGTGGCTGAGCTTTAATCTAAGAACCGGGAAGCCATGGTTCCATTCCCAGTTAGAGCACAGGCCTGGGTTGCAGGCTCCATCCCCAGGATGGGGTGTGCAGGAGGCAGCTGACCCATGATTCTCTCTCATCATGTATATTTCTATCTCTCTTCCTCTCTGAAACCAATAAAAATACATTAAAAATACAGAAACACAATCACAAGGAAACAAGCTCCTGTTAGGGGTGCAGGGCTGGGAGGCAGGGCCGAGGGGCAGGGCCGGGGGGAGGGGAGGGACAGGAGCAGTGGGGCTGGGACTAAGCCGGGTACTGGGGAGGGAGCGTTGGTGAGGGGCAGGGAGCAGGGAGAACCAGGAGGAGGCAGTGTGGCCAGGCTCTCCTGCCTCTGACCGCAGGGTCCTCAGAAATCAGGCCCACATCTTCCCAGCATCCCATTGGCTGTGCGTGCGGCTGGGGGAGGGGGCTGCGGAGAGGGCTCTGGAAGGTGGCCCGGACAGGACCACCACCTGGACATGAGCTGGAGGAGCTGAAGGGGTTGAGTCCAAGCCCTGGGCTCCCAGGACCCTGGGCTCTGCCCGGCTCTTGCCTGCTGGGCTGGCGTTCCTGCAGCACCTGGAGCTCTATCCGGCGGGGACCTGGGAGGGAGGTGAGCGCCAGACCTGGTGTGGGCTGTCCTTGCTGCCCCTTCCCTGCCCACCTGCCTGCCCACCTGGCCGCCCTGCTGGCTCTTGGCCTCAGCAGCCGATCCTGCCGGCAGCCCCGGGGGTGGCATCCGGCCAGGGGTGGTGTCAGCGGTGGTTGGACGGGTCCCCTGGGTGAGCGGGGGTGGGGTGGAGGGGGGAGGGCTCTGTGCATGGGGTCCCGTCCGCGGGACTTCACTACCCTGTGCACCAAGGAGAGGAACCAAGACACCCCTCTCCGCGCGCGAACCCACAGCGGAGAAGGGTGCTGTGCGGCTCTGCTGGGCCTGAGCCGCCCACTCCTGTGCAGAACTGTGGCCGGGAGGCCCTTTCTCTCGCCCACGGTGCTCCCTGACGCCCATGGTGTCCAAGGGAGGGTGGTGGTGTGTCAGCAAGGCGAGGTGTGGCTCAGTGGATAGAGCGTCGGCCTGCAGATGGAAGGGTCCGGGGTTCGATTCCGGTCCAGGGCACAGAGTATGTAGCTGGGTCGCAGGCTCCTCCCCGGCCCGGGTCCGGGTCTGGCGCGTGCAGGAGGCAACCAGTCAATGTGTTTCTTTCACATCGATGTTTCTCTCTCTCTCCCTCTCTCTTCCACTCTCTCTAAAACCAGTGAAAATGTCCTGGCGTGAGGACTAACAACAAAAACACAGAAGAGATGGGGAACCCTGTGTAAGCTGCGGCCGGGCCTCCGTTTCCCGGGCCCTGGCGGCCCCCCCCGGCCCCCGTGTGTCCCTCCAGCTGCGGCCCCAGCTCGTCTCCGTGGACCGCCCCGCACGTCCTGGTCCTCAGCCGAACATCTGGAGAAAGGGAACGCTCGCTCCAGGAGGACACTCTGCCTGCAGATGCAGGAGGAATGTCCCGGGTCCCGTTCGGGGCCCCCCGGACTGCTGTCCCCTCCGGAGGCTGAGTGGCAGGGAGAGACGGGCCAGCATGTGGGGGGCCCTGCAGGTCCTCCTTCGGCTCCAGCCCCAGCCCACACCCAGCGCGGTCCCTGGGGTCTGGGGGGGAAGGGGGACGCTGCCTCTGAAGTTTCTGTCAAAGGCTCCAGGCACTAAAAATAACGGGCCGCCCTCCTCCCCGCCCCGCCCCCCCGCCCTCCTCCCCGCCTGCCCCCCTCCCCCGGCACCCCCCGTCGCCTGACACGGGCAGGGATGGGTCCAATGTGTTTGCAAGCTGTCCCTGCTTCCCGCTGTGTGCCGGGAGGCCCCGGCCGCCTTGGCTCCCCCCCCCCCCCCCCCCCCCCCCGTGGCCAGCCCGGCTTCCCTGTCTGCCGGCTCCCAGGGCTGGGCCCTCCAGGGTGGGGAGGAGGTGGGAACTAGGGGTGAGCTCTGGCTGGGGGGTGAGGGGGCTCTGGCTGGGGCAAACCTCACCCCCCACCGGGTCCCTCAGAGAGGTGGACCGTCCAGGTCCCCCAAAGGCTGGCGGAGGGAAATGGGGGGCCTGGAGCGCGCCCGGAGAGCTCCCGGGAGGGAGGCCGTGGGCCCGGGCACACCAGGCAGAGGCAGGGGCGTCGGGCAGAGGGGCGCCAGGCCCGGCGTCGGTGGGGAGCAGGCGTGTGGCACGTGGGGGGCGTGTGGCGGGGGCTGTGGGAGCGGCAACGAGAGTGAGGGTGAGACGGATGGAGAAACGGCCAGCTGAGCTGGATGCTGAGCTGGAGGCTGGGTGGGCCAGGCTCGCCCTCCAGACAGAGGCCTCCTGGGTGCTGTTCCCGAGCCCTAAGACTCACAGCTGCGGCTGCAGCTGCCTGAGAGCCGTGACCCTCACACACGGACACGCGGACACAGAGATACACAGACAAGCACACAGACACACGCACACACAGGCACACGGACAAGCACACACAGAGACGGCAGCGGGGCACACAGAACCCACCCCTCCAGACACCCAGGAAACACGCACAGACCCCCCATGGGCACACAGAGCCCCCCCCAACACACCCAGGCCCCAGACAGCCCCCTCTGTGCGGGTGCAGGCGGACACCTGAGGATTCAGTGCACAGGTGGGAAGTTGAGCTTGAGAGGGGCCTCAGGTGATCGAGTCCTCCTGCACCCAGCACCCAGCGCACAGCACCCGGCACACACTCAGCCAGCCTCTGCTGAACGCGGGGCCTGGCTGGCCTGGCATGCTCTCAGGGTGCTGAGCGCAGCCTCTGTCCCCCACCCCCAACAGGTGACTGGAACAGACAGCCCTCCTTCTCCCTCGCTCCTGAGCCTGAACAATGCCTTCCCAGGCCCCAAAATAGCCCCTGCGGGCCAGTGTCCTTTTATGGCCCTGTCCCCATTGTGCCCGCCAGGGGCTGGGGGAGGTGCCCAGGCCACATAAAGGCCAAGGGCAGGAGGCGCCCCGCCCCGACCTCACTCTCTGCTCCCTCCTCTCCTCATCGGCTGAGCGTGCTCACGGCCCCATGGCCCCCAAAAAGCCAGAGCCCAAGAAGGAGGAGGCCAAGGCAGCCCCCAAGGCGGCGGCTCCGGCCGCGGCCCCGGCTCCCGCGGCCCCACAGCCCGAGCCCCCCAAGGAGAACGAGTTTGATGCCTCCAAGGTCAAGGTGGGTGTGTGGCTGGGCTCTGGCAGGAAGGACACGGAGGCAACTGGATCCAGAACGGACGGACCAGGACAGGCGACTCAGAAAGTGGGCAGGAGCTGATGCTGGAAGCTTCCGCAGACAGCCCTGGGCTTCGGCCTCAGGCAGGCATGGCGGGCAGGAGGGGGCAGCCAGCGGGAGGGCCCAGTGCCCTTGTTGGTGGTTCAGAACCTGTCTCCCTGGGCCTCGCTCACATCCTTGGTCCCTGGAGCCCCCCCTCGCAGCAGGCAGACCGGTGGGGACCAGAGGAAGCCAGGCCCCCAGGCTGGGTCACACTCACCTCCAGTGCCTGAGCCCAGAGCTGGGAGGCCTCAGCTCCGAGGGGGGAACTGGGGGACGGGCGGGAAGCTGGGCTCACCGTGTGACCAGTGCTCCCAGGAGCCCTCGTGGCTGGAGGCTCTCAGAGGCTAAACTTGGAGGAGCAGCCGCGACTCCCACCTGTGGCCTCCGCACAGAGGCACGCACCCTGCACCTGCCCCTCCCTGCTCTCTGCCTCCTGGATGCCTCCCAGCCCGTGCCTGGCTGCCGGCTGAGGCAGAGCCCGGTCCCCCGGCCCCCCGCAGGCCCCCAGGCCCTCTGCACACACCCTCCGCTGGAGGCCGCGGTGCGGACCCCTGCTCTGGGCCTGTTGCTCAGCGGAGGGCCGCAGCCTCTGCGCAGTGGTGGGCGCTCCCACAGCCTGCGCCCTGTTGGCTCCTGACCCCCAGACCCCTCGGCGCTGGCGTGTGTCCAAACCCCTGGTAGGGTCACCTGGACCCAGTGCCTCGGATCCGAGGTTGGCACACGCCCCTCTCCAGGAGGGGACAGGGAGGCCCTGTGTGCCCTTCCCCACCTCGGGCTGATGAGGGGCTGGTGAGGGGGTGATGGTGGGGAGGTGGGGAGGTGAGGTGGAGGAGGGGTGTGGAGTGGCCTCCTCAGCAGGCTCCTGGGGAGAGCTGCAGGGCCTGAGGGCAGGGCACTCCCCTCACTGCCTGCTCTGTGGGGGTTGGTGGGGCCCCTCTTGATCCCCTCCCCCAAGCTCCTTTCCCTCCTGTGACCTTGACTTTGGGGCAGTGACTGCGGGATAAAAATAGCCCTGGTATCGGTGAGGAGGGGGAGACCAGGAGGAGAGCGGGTCCCAGGAGGCCCTCTGGCCTCAGGCGCCCCAATGCTGCCTCAGCAGCTCCCCTGGCTGGGCTGCCCTGCCCTCGAGGGGGGTGCAGGGCTCAGTGTAGGCAGGGCCACGGGAGCGGCAGTGCCCAGCCTGAGGGCTCTGAGGGGCAGACACACACACACACACACACACACACACACACACACACACGAACGCACACGAACACACAACACATGAATGCACAAGAATGCACACACACACACACGTGAACGCACACGAACGCACACACACACGTGAATGCACAAGAATGCACACACACACACACACACACACACACACACACACACACCCTGTGGAGATGAACCCGTCACATTCCTGTGGCGGGTCCTGCCCCCTGGAGGCTGAGGCAGGAATGGGGACTGGGTGGACGGCTGAGGGCTGGGTCTGCGTCTGGCCCCGCTCTCTGAGGCATCTTTGGGGTCTGCCTTCATTTTGGGGTCTCCTTCCAGATCGAGTTCACCCCAGAGCAGATTGAAGGTGAGTAGAGTGTGACCCTGGGCCCGTCGGAGAGTCCTGGGGGTGAGAGGGCTCTGGCTGGGGGGTGAGGGGGCTCTGGCTGGGGGGTGAGGGGGCTCTGGCTGGGGGCGTGGGTGAGGGGGCTCTGGCTGAGGGGGGGTGAGGGGGCTCTGGCTGGGGGGTGAGGGGGCTCTGGCTGGGGGGTGAGAGGGCTCTGGCTGGGGGGTGAGGGGGCTCTGGCTGGGGGGTGAGGGGGCTCTGGCTGGGGGCGTGGGTGAGGGGGCTCTGGCTGAGGGGGGGTGAGGGGGCTCTGGCTGGGGGGTGAGGGGGCTCTGGCCGAGGGGGAGCGGCTGGGGGGTGAGGGGGCTCTGGCCGGGGGGAGGGGTGAGGGGGCTCTGGCTGAGAGGGACTGGCTGGGGGGTGAGGGGGCTCTGGCTGGGGGGGTGGGTGAGGGGGCTCTGGCCGAGGGGGAGCGGCTGGGGGGTGAAGGGGCTTGGCCGGGGTCACAGTCCACATTCTCACAGAGTTCAAGGAGGCCTTCATGCTGTTCGACCGCACGCCGAAGTGCGAGATGAAGATCACGTACGGCCAGTGCGGGGACGTGCTGCGGGCGCTGGGCCAGAACCCCACGCAGGCCGAGGTGCTGCGCGTGCTGGGGAAGCCCAAGCAGGAAGGTTGGTCCCGCGAGAGCGCCCACGGGCTGCCACGTGGGGGCCACGGGACTGCTGTGCCTGTGCTCTGCCGTCCAGGCGGGGACACGGGCGGCTCCGGGGAGCTGACAGGTCGTGAGGAGCGCTGGCCGCTGCCCTGGCCTCTGGGGGAGGCCCCAGGCCCCAACCCCGTCCTCCAGGGCTGACCACGTGCAGACCAGGCTCCCTCTGTCCCCCCCGGACCCCGGCTTCTCCCTCTGCCCCCCCCCCCCGGACCCCGGCTTCTCCCTCTGCCCCCACCCCCGGACCCCATCATCTCCCTCTGCCCCCCGCTGGGCCCCGGCTTCTCCCTCTGCCCCCACCCCCGGACCCCGGCTTCTCCCTCTGCCCCCCCCCGGACCCCATCATCTCCCTCTGCCCCCCCCCCGGACCCCGGCTTCTCCCTCTGCCCCCCCCCGGACCCCATCATCTCCCTCTGCCCCCCCCCCGGACCCCGGCTTCTCCCTCTGCCCCCTCCGGACCCCATCATCTCCCTCTGTCCCCCCGGACCCCGGCTTCTCCCTCTGCCCCCACCCCCTGGACCCCGGCTTCTCTCCGGCTTCTCTCTCTGCCCCCCCCCCCCGGACCCCGGCTTCTCCCTCTGCCCCCCCCCCCCCGGACCCCATCATCTCCCTCTGACCCCCCCCCCGGACCCCGGCTTCTCCCTCTGCCCCCCCCCGGACCCCATCATCTCCCTCTGCCCCCCCCCCGACCCCGGCTTCTCCCTCTGCCCCCTCCGGACCCCATCATCTCCCTCTGACCGCCCCCCCGGACCCCGGCTTCTCCCTCTGCCCCCCCCCCCGGACCCCATCATCTCTCTCTGCCCCCCCCCCCGGACCCCATCATCTCTCTCTGCCCCCCCCCGCCGGACCCCGGCTTCTCTCTCTGCCCCCCCCCCCGGGCCCCGGCTTCTCCCTCTGCCCCCACCCCGGACCCCATCATCTCCCTCTGCCCGCCCCGGGCCCCGGCTTCTCCCTCTGACCCCCCCCCCCGGACCCCGGCTTCTCCCCGGCTTCTCCCTCTACCCCCCCCTGGACCCCGGCTTCTCCCCGGCTTCTCTCTCTGCCCCCCCCCCGGGCCCCGGCTTCTCCCTCTGCCCCCCCCCCTGGACCCCGGCTTCTCTCCGGCTTCTCTCTCTGCCCCCCCCCCGGGCCTCGGCTTCTCCCTCTGCCCCCCCCCGGACCCCATCATCTCCCTCTGCCCGCCCCGGGCCCCGGCTTCTCCCTCTGCCCACCCCCCGGACCCCATCATCTCCCTCTGCCCCCCCCCGGACCCCGGCTTCTCCCCGGCTTCTCCCTCTGCCCCCCCCCCGGGCCCCGGCATCTCTGTGAGGGGTGGGTTAGGCCGGTTTCCCTGGCCACCGAGGCCATGAGGGCGGCCTGCTTGGCCCCAGGAGGCTGGGTCCGGTCCCAGGGAGGCCACCGCGGGCTCAGCTCACCTGGCCTGTTGCAGGGCAGGGCGGGGGGTGGGGGTGGAGGAGGAGGTGCACAGGGAGGACTGCTTCCCCGAAGGAGGCAGGTGCCGGGCCGGCCGGTGAGCCTCCTGGGGAACCGGGCTGCGTGAAGACGCCTGTCGGGGTGCCTGAGGCGCCTGGGGGGCGGGGCTAACTGTGCGGCCCTTCGGGGACTGGGGGCGGGGCCTGCCTGGCACGGGCCTCTCTCCGCAGACCTGAGCACCAAGATGATGGACTTCGACACGTTCCTGCCCATGCTGCAGCACATCGCCACCAACAAGGACACGGGCACCTACGAGGACTTCGTGGAGGGGCTGCGTGTCTTCGACAAGGAGGGCAACGGCACCGTCATGGGCGCCGAGCTGCGGCACGTGCTGGCCACGCTGGGTGAGGCCTGGGCTGACGCCGGCGGCGCCCCAGGGCGGTGACAGCAACGGGGGGGGCCCTTAGGGGGTGGGGAAGCGTGTGGGGGACGGCGCCGTGGCCCCAGGAGCTCCGCTCAGTCTCGGGGTCACTGCCTGAGTAAGGCCCAGACCACGTCCCCTGGTGGCCGCACAGCTCACGTGCCTGCCTCAGGGCCTCCTGACCCCCCGCCCGCTGCCTCCCCTGGCACAGACTCTTACCTGCAGCACATGCTTCTTGAGCACCTACTGTGCACCCAGACTTGAGCCGGACTCTGGGGTGTGCGTGAGTGAGTGTGTGTGTGCTAGTCTGTGCGTTGGTGTGAGTGTGAGAGTGTGTATATGTATACGTGTGTGAGTATGGGTATCTATTAGTGCATGCGTGCATATCTATGTATGTGTGTGTGCATGCATGCACGCGTGTGTGTGCACACGTGTATGTGTATCTATTCGTGTACGTGTGTGTATTTGTGTGTGTTTGTAAGTATGTGTGTGCATGCATATGTGTATGTGTGTATCTGTGTGAGTGTGTGTGTGCGTGTGTGCGTGTGGCTGGGCGTGGGAGAAGCTGAGTTGGCATTCCAGGGTGGCAGCAGCATGGCACACACAAAAGCACAGGACAGGAAGGTGCCCGTTGCGAGGGGCAGGGGGTCCCTCCGCAGTCACCCTGCTCCCCAGACCCAGCTGTACCCCCAGCCTCGTGGGGACACGGGGGGTGCTCGGCGACTTTAGGGGCAGAACCGTCGCCCCAGGCCCTGCCCTTCCTGCCTTGTCGCGGATTCTCTGGACTCAGAGGCCAGGGTCGCGCCGAGGCCTGGGGCGAGGGCAGTGCCACAGGGCACACGGGAGGCAGAGCCGCATCAGGCTCACGGTCCTCCCTCCCCCCCCCACGCTGACCCTGCCGCCCCCAGGCGAGCGGCTGACCGAGGATGAGGTGGAGAAGCTGATGGCCGGGCAGGAGGACTCCAACGGCTGCATCAACTACGAAGGTGGGCGCAGGGGGGCCTCCGGGGGCTGGGGCCGGGCTGCTCGGGCCGAGCCCGCATCCTCCTCCTTCCTCCTTCCTCCAGCGTTCGTGAAGCACATCATGGCCAGCTGAGCCTGCCCAGGTGAGCCTGCTCCCAGGGGAGCCCTCAGTCCTGCTGCCCTGCTGGCCACAGCCTGTGTCCGCCTCCCATGGCACCAACTCCGCTCCCAGCCCACACCCTGCTGCCTGGCTTGGCTCCATCACCGATGCTGTGCCCTTTGCCCTTTGCCCTCAGGGAGCCCCGGGGGGCCCTGCTGGGTCGGCACGTGATGCTGGCATCGGCCGGAGCTGCCGGAAGGAGGAACCGAGGAGGCCCCACCAGCTCTGCAGCACCCGGACCCCTCCGTCTGCCCAGCCGCACGCACCTGTGACCGTCCCCACGCCCTAGGGCCTGAATAAATGCCTTCGTCCTCCTTCCCTGCCTCTGGCCTTCCTCCCTCTCTCCCTCTCGTTGGTCCTCCCTCTGGTTGGCTGCTCTGAATGCTGTGGGCAGCGAGCCCTGGACACAGAAAGGGAGTCCTTCTGCTCACAGACCCAACCCCCCACCGAACCATCTCCTGTGCTGTGAGCCTGCCCTCGGCTCGGGGAGGAGCAGGGCGGACCTGGAAGAGGCTTGGGTGCCCCTGGCTCTGTGCCCTCCAGAGCACTGTCTGAGCTCCTGGTCCCTAACCGGGCCTGCGGGCCCAGGCCACCATGACACAGGCAGAGAGCGGCCTCGCCTGCCAGTGGGGAGCGCAGGGCAGAGCTGACCGTGCCCGGCTGCCAGGACTGAAGAGGCCTGAAGCCCCTGCCTGACTTGGGTGGGGAAACCGAGGCACGCACCTGAGGTGTGGCTCTCAGCCAGAGGAGAGGGTCTACCGTGAGCTCCCAGCCCTGGGCTTCTCAGCGGAAGTCGAGCGTGCAGGCCCCAAGTGTGCAGTGACAGTGTGTGTGTGAGTGTGAGTGTGTGTCTCTCTGTGTGTATGTGTGTGTGACTGTGTGTGTGCGCGTGTGTGTGTTTGAGTGAGTGTGTGTCTGTGTGTCTCTCTGTGTGAGTGTGTGTGAGTGACTGTGTGTGTGTGTCTGTGTGTGAGCGTGTGAGTGTGTCTCTCTGTGTGTGTATGTGTGTGTGACTGTGTGTGTGTGTGAGTGTGTGTGAGTGTGTGTGAATGTGAGTGTGTGTCCCTGTGTGTGTATGTGTGTGTGTGAGTGTGTGTGTGAGTGTATGTGTGTGTGTAAGAGTGTGAGTGTGTGTGTGTGTGAGTGAATGTGTTTGTGTGTGAGTGTGTGTGTGTGAGTGTGTGTGTGTGAGTGTGTGTGAGTGTGTGTGTGTGTGTGTGAACGTGTGTGTGTGAGAATGAGTGTGTGTGAGTGTGTGTGAGTGTGTGTGTGTGTGTGTGTGAGTGAGTGTGTTTGTGTGTGAGTGTGTGTGTGTGTGAGAGTGTGAGTGTGTGTGCGTGTGCGTGTGTGAGTGTATGTGTGTGTGTGTAAGAGTGTGAGTGTGTGTGTGTGTGTGTGTGTGTGAGAGTGTGAGTGTGTGTGTGTGAGTGTGTGAGTGAGTGTGTGTGAGTGTGTGTGTGAGAGAGAGAGAGCTAGAGAGAGGGCGGGGGCGGGAGAGGGGGAGAGAGTTGGGAGGTGTTGACATGTTAGACCATGAGGCCAGTGATTATCTGAGAAGCTCATAGTTGGGCAAAAATGTAAGAGGAGATGCCACCAGAAGCCATGGAGAATTCCTGTAACTCAACAAAACCAGCACCCGATTGAGAACGGGTGGAGGATGGAAGCAGGCTTTTTCCAAAGAAGATGCACAAACAGCCTGTCACGTGATGACGCCTCACTCTAATCACTAGGAAAATGCAAATTAAACTACAGTGAGAAGACACTTCTCACCCCTGGGATGGCTAGCCCGGGTGCCATGCCCCCCCCCAAAAAACAAAACACAAAAACACAAAAAACCCTACACACAAGAAAATACCCGTGCTGCCACCATTAGGAAACCCGGAGCCCGGGCATTGCTGAGGGGTGCAGCTGCTGTGGAAACAGTGTGGAGCTCCCCCAAACGGAAGAGGAATCGCCATGTGACCCCGCAGTCCCACTGCTCGGTTCTCACCCGAGGATGGGCAGCAGCCGGAGGAGATGCCACACTGTCCCCCGGCGTCACTCCGGTGCCCTCGGCCGTGCGGGGTCACCACAGGCAGTCTGTTCGTCTGATGGCCGTCAGCCCTGCAGAGGGCAGGGAGTCCGACACGTGCTGTCACGGATGAACTGGAGGGTACCCCGCTAAGTGAAACTAGCCAGCCCAGAAGGGCCAGTTCCTGAATGATCCCACGTCTCTAATTCAGAGAGACAGAAGCAGGGTGTGGCTGCCGGGGCTGGGGAGCGGGCCGGGCGTCTTGTTAAGAAAACAGAATGACTGAGGAGAGTCGGTGTCCTGGGTGGGCTTCCCAGAAGCGGAGCTGAGACGCAGCCTAAATGCAGACGGTCCCCGGGAGGCACCCCGAGTGTGGAGGGCAGCGGGGAGGGAGGGAGTGCGACAGGTGCCCGGAGCAGGTGGCGTGTGAGCAGTGGAGCTGGGAGACGGCTCCGTCTGCCCTCCACCTGCGTGGCGGTGCGTTTCCGTGAGCGCACCTACGTCCACAGGACGTCCGTGCGTGTGCCTGCCCACGTGTGTATGCGCGTGCCATCTGTCTGTGCCGTGCACACGTGTGTTATCTCTGTGTGCGCGTGCATGTGTCTGGTCGCCTGTCTCAGTGGGGACGTGCCGGGGACTCTGCCGAGTCAGCGCTGTGCTGAGCGGCGGCATTGCCAGCCCGGCTGCGGCCTCCCCACAGTTGCATAAACACGCCCGCTCCCCTCAAGCAGGGAGGTCCAGCCTGTGGCCATGTGGCTGGCGAAGGCGACGGGAGGGGCCAGGGCTTGTCCTGCTGCCAGCCTGGGCCCTCCACACCCAAAGTGCCAGGTCAGTGTCCCGTGAGCCAGGTGGGTCTTCCCACGCCGCCCCCCCCCATCTGGCCTGGAGCCTGATCTCTGAGGGGGCGGAGGGGACAGGGATAGCCACCTCGCCAGGCCGGGCCAGCCGCAGCCAGAGGGTCCGTGGGGCAGCCAGGGGGCAGGGCCCAAGAACAGGGTTCGGCCTCAGGACCCCAGAACCAACGTGAGGCCCCTCCCCTGCTCTGACACCCCTGCAGGGATGCCGTGGCTCTCAGCAGCGGCCACCCTGCCATGGGCCCCTCAGTGGCACCGGGTCCTTGCCCAGACGGGGGTCAGAGAGCAGGGAGCCCAGAAGCCAGAAATGCAGCCGAGACAGAAGGAAGTCAGAGGGGCTGGGAGAAATCAGTGTTGGAGGGAGAGCTTGCCAGGCCACCAGAGGACAGAAATCAGACCGCAGGCAGGAGAAGTTGGACCTCGGGCTTGGAGCCCCGCTGCAGAGTGGCGGGCAGAACGCCGATAAAGATCTTTACTTTAAACATATTTTATTGATTTGAGAGAGAGAGAGAGTGAGAGTGAGAGAGAGAAACATCGATTGGCTGCCTCCTGCACGCCCCCTACTGGGGATCAAGCCCCCAACCTGGGCGTGTGCCCTGACTGGGATCAAACCATGACCTGGCTCATGGGCCTTCGTCAACCACTGAGCCACGCCAGCAGGGCTGGCAAAGATCTTAAGAGAAACCAGGGGTTGGAGTAAAAGGGTCCAAGCAATGGGTGTATGACATGAGAGGGAGCGTGGAGATGGAGGGGGGCGGGGGTGTGTGCAAAGACATTGGGCCTCAGTGTGACAGCAGCTCTCCTGCTGCATAAGTGGGTGCTGGGTGGAGGGGAGGAGGTGGTGCAGGGGGCAGTCCCGCTGTGGCTCCTCAGGCCTGGGGGGGGGGGGGAGAGGAAGGAAGAGCCGCCTGGTCCAGGGCATCACACCCCAGGGCACACTGATCCAGGCACCTCAGAGAGCAGCAGGGAAACCCGGGGACCGTGAACTGGGTGACCCAACAGAGCCCCCTGGGGCTCTCCCAGTCCCCTCCACAGGCCCAGGCCCGCCTGCACCGAGTTTGGGGTTACTTGTTCCTGCCTCCCAAAGCCACACAATCCTGGTTTGCCCAGATGCTGACAGAGCACAGCTGGAATGTGGACACACACACACACACACACACACACACACACAGGCTTCCCGGGACCGCCCAGCAGGCCCCTCTGGTCTCAGCCGCCAGGGCCCTGGGACAGGGCGGGGCCTAGAAGGTCAGGGCTGGCTCTCTGCCCCAGCCTGGCTGAGGACGCCCGAGGTGCCACCATTTTCTCCCCATCTTGCTCCTTCCTCTGTCCCATGGGTCCAGGCAGGGCCTGATCGACTGAGGCCTCAGTGAGAATGGCTGCATCAGAGCGCTCTCTGGAGGGCTAGGGAAGGGTCTGCAGCTCCTGAGGTGGGGAGATTGCCCCCTGAGAAGTCTGAGGTCCAGGCCAACTTGCTGATGTTTATACTTCGGTCAAGCTGACCACGGTTACCCTTTCCCTCACACAGTTCTGTACCAGGTCCGGAGGCCTCTGCCTTTCCTCCCCTCTGACCCTCTTTCCTCTTGCTCCCCTTGGTCTGTTCCCCTCCCCCCAGGCTGCATTTCTTCTCCCCTCTGGAATAGTACCTCCAGCTCCCAGATCACTGGGATGGTGGTGCAGACCCTGACCCACGGGTGTGCAGCAGAGGCGAGCCGATTCCCCGGGAAGGCTGGGCAGAGATGGGGAACACGTGGGCACCCCAAGGCCCAGCCAATCTGAGCCCAGGAGGAGGAAGGCCCGGTGTGTTTCCTGGAGGTCACCCTGCATCGTGAGGGCCTGCCTGTCTCTCCTGAGGTCTCATCCTGCTTGCTTTACTTTGTTTCTGCCTTGAGAACATCCTTTGTTTACACAACCATGTGGGGTAGCTGGTGGTGGCTGTTTCCCGTGGCTTTATCTGGCAAAATAAGACCTGACAAGTCGATTTTTAAGTTTGGAGGAAATTTCAGTTTGTTGCAATCGACATCTTCCCAAGCCCTTGAATGGGGCATGTCCTTCCCAGGCCCAAGGCTCCTCTGAATCACCCATTCATCCCTTCTTCCCTTCCTCCCCCA